TTTTTTTTTTTTTTTTTAAAGAATGATATTAATGAGACAGGATGCAATCAATCTAGAGGAATAGGTTGTATTTTGAGTCAGTCTCTTTTGAGACAGAAAAGGAATTAAAGGAGCTCTGGTGCCCAAGGTGGGGTTGCTATGAGTTGGATCCGACTCCATGGCAATGGATTTGGTTTTATTTTTGGTGGTATAGTGCCTAAAGCATTTGCTAACCAGAAGGCTGGCGGTTCAAAACCACCGTCCACGCCTCGTAAGACTGGGCCATCTACTTTCGTAGAGATGCTGCCTCGGAAACCCAAGGAGGGGTTGCTATGGTCAGAATCGACTCCACAGAATTGAGTTTGGTTTGAGCAGAGGTAAGAGGGATCTCCTACTACCATCAAGAATAAAGAGCCAGGGTGCATTCCTACATTGAGAAAACTCCTAGACCCAGGGAAGATTTATGACAAGGACCTTCCCGCAGAGCTGGAAGAGAGAAAACACTTTCCCCTGAAGCTGATGCCCTGAATTCAGACTTCTAGGCTCTTCAATTGTGAGGAAATAAATTTCTGTTTGTTAAAGCCATCAACTTGTGGTATTTTTCTGCTATAGCAACGTTAGGTAACTAAGGTAAGTGGAATAACATGGCATTTTGTGCCTTCTTAGGCAGTACATTGAGAGGTACATGTCAAAAATATTTAACTTAAATCTAATCATGAGGAAACAATCAGATAAACCCAGAATTCTATAAGACACTTGTCCTGAATTTTCAAAAGAAAGTTATGAAAAACAACAAAAAGCAAAGTCATAAAAGACAACCAAATACAATGTATGCACTTTGCTTGAGTAGATCTTTCCCCAAATAGAGGAATTGTAAACCATTTTAGGGATAGTTGCAACAATTTAAATACGGATTTATACTAGATGATACTGAATTAGTGTTAATTATTTCAGATATGATTATGGTTTTTGTAGGAGAAAATCATTATTGGGAAATGTGTGCTGATGTGTTTTGGGGTGAGTTAATAGAATTCTGCAAATTGCTTTGAACAATGTGGATATACACGGATTAGGCTGGATCATATCTGATTGCTGATTTTCTAAGTGAGAAACAGTTAAATATAGGCAAATACCTATGGTTCAGCTTGGTACTGTTGAGAAAGAGGGAAAAGAAGAGAGAAAGCAAACATGGTGACAAATGGTGATTTGAGTTGACAAATATACAGGTGTTTGTACTGTTCTTTCAATTTCCTGTGTGTTGGAACTTTTTCAGAATTGAAATGGGAAAAATAGGTAGCCAGCAAATGAAAATGTACTCTCAGCAGATACATATTTGTTAGATTAAGTGTGCTGACAACATTCTCTCTGGGAGTAATTGCCTATAATAGCATATAAGTTCTCTTAGAATTCATTCTCAAACTACTTAAATTGATTGAGATTATAGAAAAGAAAGAAAACTACTTACATTATTGTAAAAAACATTTATACCTCTAAATCAGTATATGACAAAGATCAGAAAAATAAAGAGCTATTTAAGGAAACTATTTAAGGAAAGTGCTTAATATCTCATGGAATCTTTTTTGCATGACCTAAGACAAATCCATTGATTAATGCAAAAAAGGAGAAAAAATTTGGTCATTGGTTTCTCAGAAACTGACGGCTATTACTGTTTTGTCAAGGGATCAAACATGCTTCTCTCTAGGTGTGGCCTTGACATTCTCTTTAAAGTAGGGCATATTTCTAGAATTTGAAAAAGTCCTTTTCTGTGCTCCCCCCACCATCCTTTTTTGCCATGTGGCATTAGCTGAAGCATGTTTTGCTCATGGTTCTTGGGGTCTTTTGGGCAAGTCTGGGTCTGTGTACCATGGCAGATGGATAAAGTCATGGTAATTTCTGTCCCCCTTTGGAAAATTAACCTTAAGTGATAGTAAGTGATACTCTCTCTTGAATCCAAAACAGATACCTAAAGAAGTGGCTGACATTTTTAACGCCCCCAGTGATGATGAAGATTTCGTTGGCTTCCGAGATGATGTTCCCATGGAAACCCTCTCATCAGAAGAGAGCTGTGATAGTTTTGACTCGCTGGAGTCAGGGAGAAAGGTACGGAGCTTCCTCCCGGGCAGGTGTTCCTCTGGAGGCCTGGATCTTGAGATACACTCTTTTATTTGAACATTGCCTGAGGTTTGTGATACTGCTTGATTGTCAAGCATTTTATAAAGTGTTAATGCCTTTATGATTTAAGAAACTATGGAAAATACCTAATTCTCTTTTGCTGTTTTAATCCTTTTTTATGTACAATAAACTTTTTTTTTTTTGCTGGCTATTATTATGCATAATATGTTCTCTGTCCAAGGGTGGGGAAAAAAAAAACTTTTTTTTTTTTTTTAAATAGAAGGACCTCACATGATCAAATCCATTTTCCTTGCCCCCTCAGGGCTTTAACCTGTGGTGAGGTTGTATTCAGAGTCCTCCCACGTGGTTGGCAGGGGAGGGCTAGCCCGATGTAGCGCTAGCCTACTCTAGGGAGTGCAGCGAGGCAGGGCAAGATTTGTGGTTACTATGAGACAATTGCCTCTCTGTGGTACTGGAGTGTGCTTCTATTGGCACCTGGCTTCTGAGATTGCTGGGGAGACCATTATTCTTTCTTTAATGACTTTGATCTGTAGCAGACACAAGTTGCCATTCTCAAAGAGGTAGATTCCTGGAGGTTTATATTATGCCTTAGCAGTAGCATGGCCAATCAAAATATCTAGCCTTCAGTGGCATTTTCTTGTGTGTTCATTGTGCACTCAGTATTCCTCACTCTCCCTCGACCACAGCCTTGTTCAAAAGGCTGTAAATTAAACCCACGGTGCTTCAACAAGGCAAGTACAGTATAAGGGAAGCTGTTCATTCCATGTCAGGAAAGTGCCTCCTTAGAGTGCCTCGGTGAAGAAAGGCCTGATGATCTGCTCCTGAGAGATCATAGCCTTGAAGACGCTTTGGAGCAGTTCTGCTCTGCACAGACGTAGTCACCATGAGTTGGAATTGAATTGATAGCAACTGGTTTTACTTTTTCAAGTGCTTGGTTAATGACTTGAAAGACTGTGTGTTCTGGTCTTGGAGCTGCTCTTCCTTTGGTTGCCAGGAGCTTTCCCAGTCCCTGCAACCTCACGTTCTTGCACGTCTCCACAGCTTCGATGCCACCAGTCCCTTCTCTCACTCCCCTTGGTCTCTTCCTCTCTGTCCTCTCTTCTGTTCTCTGTTGGCATCTCTTCCTTTTCCTGTTCCCACACCTTTTTTCTCTTTCGCAGTCTCATTGATCATCCTGGCTTCGACGATTACCTCCACATTGTTTGTTTGTATCTTGACTTCTCTGTCAAGCCTCAGATCTTTTTCAGACTTGTCTTCATTGTTCAAGGAAAATCAGAACCTCTCATTTTCCTTCCCACACTGGGTCCTCTCTCTGGCTTCCCTCTCTCCATTTCTGTCTTTGGTCTTTCTTGAACCCCTCCTCCTCCTCTCCTATCTCCCTGACCCCATCCAGGAGTTGACTGAGTGTCTGCTATGTTCTTGAACCCACCTTTTCCTCCCCTTCCCTTTTCAGTTACCATAATCTTCAATACCTGGTACCTGAGTGCTCATCTCTTCAGTCTGGGATCCATCATAGAAATTTGCTCTGGTCACCATCCTCCGTTATTCAGAACTTGTTGGAATCTCTTCATTTCTCCACAGCTAGAAAGTAGAGGAGAACGGAGCCCCCAGGCCCATCTTGAGGGGCTTTCTGAGCTGTGTAGAATGCGTGTGAAGTGCCTAGCACAGAGCCTGGCATGGGGAAGCCATTAAAACACAAAGCAGCTGCTTCTGCTCTGTGATGACTCTCTCTTCTGTCTCTTTGATGACAGTCGAGCTGTCCTTCATGGAAGCCCTTGTCTGACCCCAGCCTGCCTTACACGGCCGGGACCGGGTGCCAAGAGCTTTCTGTACAAATTGTATTTTGTCCTCATACCTTCCTGGGAGGGTGTAGGTGCTGTTGTATTCTCATTGTGTGGGGGATGAAACTGGTACTCAAGGAGGTGACATACCTTGCCCAAGGCCTCACACCTGGGAAGCAGCTGAGCTGGGATGTTCCAAATGCAGGGGTACATTTAACTGCCACCTTTCACCTCTTATCCCTGGGTAGTACAGGCGGTTAGCACACTCACTACTAACTGAAAAGTTGGAGGCACCTCAGAAGGGAGGCCTGATGATCTGCTTCTGAAAAAATCAGCTGCTGAAGACCCCATGGAGCACAGGTCCACTCTGAGATGCCTGGGCTTGTCAGGAGTTGGAGTCAGTTCTGTGGCAACTGGTTTTCTCACCTCTTACCCCCATGGCTGTTTCCTTCCTACTCACTGTGCCGTAGCAGACCAGAAACTCTGTTTATTCCCTCACTGGACATGATTTGGCGCTTTCTGAGAATTGGCTTAGGCTGGTCATCCTGCCTGCGTGCTCTCTCACCATTTTTTAAGACTTGACCTCCCTCTAGGGCCCAGTTCAAATACTGCTTCTTCCATGAAGTCTTACTAGGTTTTCATTCTCTCAGTGTGCATATTTGTTGGGCCTCACTTAACGCACTGACCTTCACCGTTATAATTGGTGGGTTGTAAGCTCCTGGAAGGAAGGGACCTCATACTGGGACGGTGTTTTCTAGCTTCCCTGCCTCTGACTTTATCATGTTGTCACTCTCCTCTGGGTACCAGACACCCCTCGCCCCTGGCTTTGTACAGAGTAAAGACCAGTGACTGGAAGTGAAATGGGTGCTGGTCTAACTTTCTGGTTTAGCAGGCCCTTGCTGTGCATGTCACGTGAGCTTTGAAATAAAAATGCCACCTCCTCTGTTAGCTCCTTTTCTGAGCTATTTGTTAACAGTCTTGATCATGGTAGATGTAGGTACCTGAGGAGCACGCCATGTTGCCTGGCACTGATTCTGTTTTTATTGTTTATTTGTTACTTAGGAGACCCCTTGTGTTGCAGAGTAAAACTGCTCCATAAGGTTTTCTTAGGTGTAATCTTCATAGAGCAGATAGCTGGGCCTATTTCTTCTCTGGTGCCACTGGGTGGGTTCAAACCACCAACCTGTTGGTTACCAGCCGAGTGCAAACTGTTTGTGCCACCCAGGGTCCTCAGTACCTATTTTGAAGGCTAAGAAACAGGTACCTATTACATAGCAGGGAGCTGTTGCAGATGTAGGACTAAGAATGCAGTGAGTTATGGGGAGTGGAGCTTTATTTCATGCCGTCCCTCATAAAAAAGCAGTTTTTTCCTCTTTGGAATAAGAATATGAGCATCTTAGTCCTCATTTTAGGACTGTGGCCACGTTATTTTTCTCTGAGTATTGACCACCAAAGATACTGATTTCTTCTGTCTAACCACTGCCTTGTCAGTCCAGTGCAGTGGGTCGAAAGAGGGGCAGGAGGACTAGAAAGTTGGAAATTTCTTCTCCAAACCTTCAGGCCCCAGAAAGGGGTGTTGGATATATAACACAGTTTTCATAAGACCCCATCTCTCTAGAACAGCCTGCAGGACCGGCTCAGGGTTCTGTCAGCAGGTGTTCCCTGCACTTGGATGCAGCAGCTCATAGTGGTTTTCCTCAAAAGCCAGCGGTATTGCTCTTCCTTTAATAATAAATCCTGTCCTCTGCTTCCCCACTCTGTCTGCACACTTCATGATCCGTCTTAACCAGCTGAGAAATGCGATGTGAATTTGCACTCAATATGTGTATGCCAATTCTGGTCTCCTGCAAACACAGTCTGAATTTCACTTTAAAGAAACTTACTTCTTTTTTCTGTGTGTATGTTTTTTTTTTTCCCCTGAAAGCCAGCTGCACCACAGCGATCAACAAAAGAACAAAGTAATTTAGCTCCAAGCAAACTTACTCCAATTACCCATAATAATTCATAGGAGACATTTTTAAGCTTAAAAAAAATGCTAGATGTAGGCATTTCTTTCTCTGTCCCTCTGTAAATTTCCCCACTCGTCTATTATATCTGTTTTTCTCCAGAGATTATCTAAGCTTGAGGAAGTATATAATTAAAGTCAGGGAAAGGCGGGGGGAGATAAAAATTCTCAACCAAATGGGTTGTTACAGGGGGTCATTGCTATATCTAGCATGGGAGGATGGAAATGGGACATAGACGTGAGCCCTTGTGAAGCATTGCTGGCTTGAAGGAGGCAGGTTTGTGGGTCTCCCTTCTGTTCTGCTGGTCTGTCTCCTCTCTCCTTTCCTTCAAGCATGCTAATGAGAGCCAGGTTTATTTCTTTTGGTCCCTGGGTGGTGCCTACAGTGAAGCACTGGGTTATTAACTGAAATCTTCTAAGTTTGAAATTACCCCTTGGAAGAAAGGCCTGGCCGTCTGCTTCTAAAAGGTCACAGACTTGACAACCCATTGAGTACAGTTTTGCCCTGACACACACGCGTTGCCATGAGTTGGAATTGACTCAATGGCAACTGGTTGCTATTTCAGAAAAAACAAAAACTCATTATTGGAAAATGCCTTTCTTCTTTTGGGTTAGTCACAGGACATCTTCCCTCTGCTCTTTCTACCTGCCCACGGAGGCTTCAGTGGCCGTTCACTTGTCACCTTCTGTGGGAAAGGAACTCATGGGGGCTGGGAAGGGTTTGAGTCTATTGTCCATCCCCCACACTCATCTATAATTATGTAACTTCTGTCCCTTCAACAGTGGGTCGTGATGGGTGTGAAAATCCCCAGCCATCTCCACCAGGGAGACTTGCTGTTTGTGAAAGTCCTTCTGTCTTGAGGCGCCATGCTCACCCCTTTGGACAAGACTCAGATTTGGGATGGCTGTTACAGAGGAACGCCAGCCCAGGGAGCCAGGCTTTCTCTTTCGGTCGTCTTTTCATTTGATTCTGTTCTGTGTGGTAGATTGGCCACTGTGGCAAGGGATGTTGAATTCTCTGAAGCACTGAGGAAGCTGACCAAACTTGCAGCCATTCTGATGCTCGGCAGTAGTCTGAGTTTCTGCATACTTAAGAAAATGTCTGCCTGTGTGTTTTTAATTCAGCAGGATGTGCGTTTTCATTCCAAGTACTTCACGGAAGAGCTGAGAAGAATTTTTGTAGAGGACACTGACTCAGAGATGGAAGATTTTGAAGGATTTTCACAGAGCGATCTGAACATAAACAATGACCCAGGAGTAATGGTAATAATTATCGACATGAAGTGGTGTGGGTTGTGATTTTTTAATCCTGTTCCTGAGTTGTAATTTTATTTGTAAGAAGTCATTTCACAAATGAGAATATTTTACTTTAATATATTTATTTTATAAGCAAATTAACATAATATAAAAATTGCTTAAGACCAATCCCCGGTCCACCAGCCAACTGTTCTCTTGGAAGAAAACTAGTTGTCTCTTTTTCATGCCTTGGGTAGTTGCAGGGTATGGCCTAGATGTCTTCTGTTGTCCTTAGCAGTGAATTTCTCTCAGACTCTAATGAACTTCCTTTTTTTTTTTTTTTTTAATCTTTTCATTCTATCTTGGAGAAACAAGTTCCTTAAAGTTATTACTTGCTGTTGCATAAAGTAATATTCTTAAGTTTGAAGTTAATTTGGCAAAAATTTAGCTATAATACAAACTTAGAATTTTCACAAATTTTCTTTTTTAAAATTTTTATTATAATAACCTATAACATAAAATTTGCCATTTTAACCATTTGTAAGCATCCAGTTTAATGGCATTAATTACAGTCTTGATGTTGTGCAACCATCATGATTGTCTATTTCCAAAACTTCATCATCACACCAAACAGAAACTCTCTGTACTCATTAAGTAGTAATGTCTCATTCCCCTCTCTCTCCCGCCCCTGGGAATCACTAAGCTGCTACCTGTCTCTATGAATTTGCCTATTCTCCATCTTTCATAGATGTGGAATCATACAGTACTTGTTTTTTTGTGATTGCCTTATTTTATTTGCATAATGTTTTCACAGTTCATCCATTGTCATAGCATATGTCCTAGAACTTCATTTCTCTTTATAGCTAAATAATATTCCTTTGTATGTTTATACCACAGACGTATATTGTTTATCCATTCTTCTGTTTTTGGACACTTGGGTTGTTTCTACCTTTTGGCTATAAGGCTGCTTTGGTTAGCAGTGGGCAAGTATCTGTTTTGAGTCTCTCCTTTCAGATATTGTGGATATTTACCTGTTGTTGTTGTTGTTTGTGCCGTCGAGTCAGACCCGACTCATAGCGACCCCTCCTTGGGTTTCCGAGGCAGTATCACTACGGAAGTAGATTGCCCCATCTTCCTTCCAAGGAGTGGCTGGTGGGTTTGAACCGCCAGCCTTCTGGTTAGCAGTCGAGTGCCTTAGGCACTACGCTACCAGAGCTCCTGGGTATTTACCTAGGAGTGGAATTGCTGGGTCATATGGCAGGCAGTTCTGTGCTTAACTTTTGAAGAGCTGCACCATTTCACATTCCCACCAACAGTGCAGGAGAGGTCCAGTTTCTCCATGGCCTCGCCAGTGCTCAGGGTGCATTCTTTAGAAGCTTTGTGTTTTCTAATGTTAGCAATCTTGGCCAGTGAAATCTGCTCACAGCACTTTGTCATTAAGGGACTTGTCAGTTGTTCTCTTCCCTTTATTCCATATGGTTAGAGCAGTTTACTGCCCACTAGTATGTGGACAAGGTAACTTTAAAGAACAGCCTTGGATTTTTTTGAAGTAGAATAAATATTTTGTTTTAGCTAAAAAAAAAACAACAACAAAAAAAACCTTTATCTAAAAAATTATATACTACTTTCTTCTTCTGTGTAAGATATAACTTAAACCTCTTCACATTCTGAAGTGCTTAAGGACTAATACTTGGCGTGGAGCTTGCATAAAAGTATAAATAAGTGTGACTGCGTTTTTCATTTTGCCCCCTCATCTTTTTCCTAGATGAGAACTTGAGGCATGAAAGCCCTAATGATAGGCTGCCTTGCTTGATGGTGATGCTTTCCATGAATAGAAAAATCAAGCTGGGCCAGCCCTCAGCCCTGAGTCTCCTTTGGCTGTCTTTACAGAAGCTGTTTGTGTGGCATTTCACATGTTCTGGCCAGTGAGCCACTACTTTCTTGCCAGCAAGACACTAAGATTCTTCCAAACTCTAATGGGTATCATCTACTCTTAGAGATTTATTTATCTTCAGTTATTTAGCTAAGCGATGTCTTAGTTATTCAAAGAATTTATATTTCTGCAAGGGAAAGTAAATTACCCAAAAAGTCTCATTTATTGGTCATTTTCTTAGGGTCTATAAACTTAGGATATGGTTTGTGAAATATGTTGCATTAAATATGATATAGCTCAGACTTGAGGGCTTATTCACTTGCAAATATTATTTTAACGGCGAAAAACTACACTGTTGCCGCTCATCCCAGTTGCCTGCCCACCCTGGTGAGAACAGGTGAATGTGTCTTTGCTGATAATGAGGAGTTATTGTCATCTTTGGTTGTCGGCAGGCGTCTGGCAAGCTGTGAAACGTAATCGCAGCAATGGTGCTGACCTTGTGGTCGACATGGAGTCCCACCTTAATTGGTGTTTTTGCTTAAAACCTGATGCTCTGAGTGGGACCCACAGCTCTTTTGGTGGAGGTGACTGGTGCCGGGATCAGTAGCAGATTGCCTGCCCTTTGCTTGTACTTACAGTGAACTTTTTGAGCATTTACTGAAGAGTTCAGAGGAAACTAATAATAGGAATGGGGAGCTTTCAGTGATTCATTTTTTCCCTAACATAGTGTCAGTATAGTTCTAAGTATATATGTCTCTTTTGAAGGACTCTTATAGACATTGTCTTATGTTCTATATTTTATTATAAAGGAAATCACGGAGTCACATTTGAGTGATGACAGCAAAGCATCTTTAGTGAGTGAGGAAGAGGAAGATGATGAAGAAGAAAAGGCTACACCTAGAAGAAGCAGGCCTAGAAGAAGCAGTATCGGGCTTAGAGTAGCCTTTCAGTTCCCTTCCAAGAAATTGGCAAATCAGTCAGATAAGAAGAACAGTTCCTCTGAGCCATCACGTTCTAGCTTACAGGACAATAACAAGACAGTTCTGGGAAGGCAGGAGAGCTGCAGACAGAGGAAGCAGAGGGAAGATTCTGTGTCTGAGTCAGAGGATGACTCCAGGGATGAGGGCCAGGAGGGCTCGGATGCCCTGTTGAAAAGGACCATGAACATCAAGGAGAACAAAGCCATGGTAAGTCTCCATGTGGGCACTCTGGAGGCCGCCTGTGGGCTCTGACAAGCGCTTTGCTGAGGCTCACCAAGCTGCTTTGCCCTTACAGCTGATTTTGGTTTGGCTTCTGTCAGGGAAATGTCTTCTGGGTATTGTATATGCTTTTCTCATCCACGACTCAAAGAGGTTAGTTGCATGATCAGCTCTGGTTTGGAAACAGAAAGGAACTCCTGAAGATCATGTGGTGCCATAAACTGATTCTGCTCGTTGTTTATTGGATTAGGTCATAAATGTATAGTGGTATTGGGCATGAGAGGGCTTGATGTTGGCAAAGAGTAAATAGGTAGATAGGTGTCTCTAAGCCCTCAGTAAGAGTTGTAATGGGTGTAATGTAGGTCAGGAAGGTGGCTTTCAATCTAGGAGTGGCTTTCTGGTGATGAACAGCTGTGGTTTTGAGACATCATCTGAAACAACAGAAGAAGTCTTAGAATAAAAACAACTCTAAACAGTTTTAATTCACTTTAACTTTCAAATGTCTTCATGAGAACAATTAATGGAATAAGGTGAAATCTGTGTTAGGTGTATCTGGTTTTTCCATATGTGGGCAATAGCTGTGAAGCTGATTATTGAGAATTATCATTTGCTTTATTATTTTGTGTATATAGAATTTAAAAAAATTCCACCACTCAAATAACCACTTTAAGCATTTTGTTGTATTTTTGTGTTTTACTTTAATATTTTCCTTAAATTAAAAAATAAAAGACACTATATATGCAAGTTTATATATCTAATTGGAAGAGCCTTGGGGGCACAGTGGTTAAAGTGCTTGGGTGCTAACAGAAAGGCCTGTGGTTTGAACCTACCACCTGTTCCATGGGAAAAAGATGTGGCAATTTGCTTCTATAAAGATGGCAGTTTTACTCTGTCCTATAGGGTCCTTATGACTTGAAATCAATGGCAGTGTACATATATTTAGTCTCATGTGTATGTGTATATATGTACAGATACGTGTGTGTGTGTGTGTGTGTGTATATATAAACTTAAAACACTGCCATCAAGTCCATTCCAAATCATAGCAACACCCATTGGGTTTCCAATGCTGTAAATCTCTATGGAAGGAGATTGCCTCATCTTTCTCCTGAGGTGGGTTTGAACAGCTAGCCTTCTGGTTAGCAGCCAGCTGCCTTACCCACTGTGTCACCAGAGCTCCTTATGTATCTGAAAATAAGAATTAAGAAAAGGTAAAGCCTATTTCTGAGTCATTTTTGTCCTAAGACAGACACACTTATACTTCACTAAGAGAATATTTTTAGCACTGTACCAGTCTGCATCTTTAAGAGTATATTCTTCATCATTTTCATTGATACCATACATTTTTATAAATTGAAACTAAAAGAATCCTAATTAACATTCTCTAATAACTGGCATATTATTCGGTCAATAATTTCATATTGGGTGTTTATTTGGGAATATTTTCGTAAATTATTTTTATTGATAAGAGATTAAGGACTCCAATTTTTGGAGCCCTAAATAACCATCAGGTTAATCTACTTGAGCCAGTTTCTTTTTTGAACATGAAAGTGAGGTTGAGATTCAGGTGAGCAGGGTCACACTGCCAATGAGCAGTCAAGTTGGGATTCAGACATGGGCTCCTGGCCACTGCCATTCCAGGGCAGCTTTTACCATGCCATGTTGTCCTTATATTTAAGGAATGGGCCTTCGTTTTATTAATTTATGTGATGACATCAGCATCTCATGCCTGGAGATGAAATTCTTTATATGTGAGGTTAAAATATGTGAGGTTAAAAAGATAACTGTTGAGGTCCTATGTAAACTGATGCATTCAGATGTCTTGTGATGCGGAATTGACAATAATGTGATAGGTTTTGGATGAACTTGATCTGGCAGTGATTATATGAGACCTTTCTTTTGTTCTGCACTTCAGCTTGCTCAGTTACTAGCAGAATTGAATTCTATGCCAGATTTCTTCCCAGTACGAACCCCAAACTCAGCTTCGGTAAGTGGAACTCCTTGCAATTTATATACCAACCCCAGTCCATGGTAACCCATTGCCAAGTGGTTTCTGGTCAAAAACACACCTTTGTGCTCTCAATTGTAGAAAAGAACCATGCGGCGGGCCTTCTCAGAGGGACAAATCCCGCGGCGCATGAACCCTACCCGGAGTGCGCGACCTCCGGAGAAGTTTGCCTTGGAGAACTTCACTGTCTCAGCTGCCAAATTTGCAGAAGAGTTTTACAGTTACAGAAGAAGGAAGACAATTAGTGGGGTATTTACTAACTAATAAACTAGTTATGCTTTGTCTAAGTGAGTGGGCCTCAAACCTGAGCATATGTCACACTAACCCCACGGGCTTGAGAAACCACAGTGTCTCAGTTTCTGCTCACACTGGGCAGCTGAGAATGTGCCTTTCTCCAAGTCTCAGGTGATGCTGATCCTGGGACCGCACTTTCAGAGCTGTTGGGCAAAAGCATAGGGCAGAGTTAATCCTTGTCTAAGCCAAGCTGAGGAGCAACTTGGTAGTCATTCCCTAACTTGGTGGCTGGTAGAGGTCATTCAAGGCCTGCAAATGGCTCCAAGGCTTTGCATATAGGAATGGGCAGTGGTTCCTTCTAGCCTCCGTTTTAGGAAAGGGATGTTTCAAATGCTTTCAGTCTGGTGAGAGAAACTTTGGACCCTTCCTATTTGTTGGTTTGGATTTTTAGTGAAGTTCACTTGATTTACTTCCCTGACATTGCAGAGTTTAAAAGTTAACAAACCTGAGTTGCTTATTTGTTGTATTATCTTGACTAGAAGGAAACATGGCCAAAGCTCAGTAAATGGCCACTAAATGTCAATGAGTGGGGGGTAAATAGAAGAGGGACATGGTTAATTAACACTGATGGTGATAGAGCAAGGAGCAGTTAACATTTTTACAGAATTTTCTTTAACCATGCAAAATAACTGACTCCAGGTTCTGCTTCTGTTCACTTTGCAGGGTAAATGCCAGGGGTATAGACGTCATCGCAGTGTCTCCTCTTTTCGGCCAGTGGAGGACATCACTGAAGAGGACTTAGAAAATGTGGCCATAACTGTCCGAGATAAAATCTATGATAAAGTTCTGGTAAATATTTTGATTAACTTGCATGATGCTTACTGACAGTCTGAGACATTGGTTTTTAGAGTCCTACATCATTTATAGGAGCTTGGGTAGCTTCGTGCCTAAGGCACTTGACTGCTAACCAGAAGGCTGGTGGTTCGTACCCACCAGCCACTCCTCGGAAGGAAGGTTGGGCAATATACTTCCTTAGTGATAACGCCTCGGAAATCCACGGAAGAGTCGCTATGAGTCAGGTCTGACTCGATGGCACATAACAACATCATTTATAAACTCTTTATAAAGGGCTGATGGCTATCACTGGTAAAACAGGGCAGCATTGCTCATCAGGAGAGATGTCTCTCTGAGGATGCATATGATTTTGAAAGAGATGGGTATAATTTGGAAAAGCATATTTATGTTATTTTATGTTGTTGTCGTTATGTGCCATCGAGTCAGTCCCGACTCATAGTGACCCCTCCTTGGGTTGCTGAGGTGGTATCACTACGGAAGTAGATTGCCCAGCCTTCCTTCCGAGGAGTGGCTGGTGGGTTTGAACTGCCAGCCTTCTGGTTAGCAGTCAAGTGCCTTATTTTTGCTCATATAATCATAGAAGATAAAGCTTGACAGAATATTGTTGGTTGGCAGGGAATGGATTGACATTTCTTTTAAATGGCGATTTAGGGGAGGCTTTGTTTTCTTCTATATTGCTTTCCAATAAGTAATAGACACCATCTTAATCTTAAGGTAGTATTAAAATGCTTTTAATTGTTAAACATGTAAATGCAGATCTTCACCATGCTGGAGCTGACCACTGCTCAGGGCCATGCCCACCTGAAGGCTTTCTTCTGTCTACCCTGATCATTTCATTCCTTCTAGGCTCCGTGCTCAGCCACCTTAATGCTTCTGTGGCCTTATAACTACAAGTACGCCCAGCCTACTGGAAGATGCTTTGGTTTGTACTGGAGAAGCAGTACGCTTGATTTTAGAAGGCAGGCAGTGCTGCTTTGGGCACTGCGTAATTTAAATGACAGCCTCTGGCCCTCAGGCATCACCATTTGCCCCTTGCTTATCTATTCTTCTTCCAGGGCAACACTTGCCATCAGTGTCGGCAGAAGACTATTGACACCAAGACTGTGTGTCGGAACCGGGCCTGTGGTGGTGTGCGGGGGCAGTTCTGTGGGCCCTGCCTGAGGAACCGCTATGGGGAAGATGTGAGATCTGCTCTGCTGGACCCGGTAGGAACTGAGTTTTCATTCTCCGCCCCCACCCCCACCCCAAAGTTTACAGAGCAAATCTGTTTTCCATTCAACACTTTCTACACATTTTTTCAGGACATTGGTTGCAATCCCCTCAGTATAATAGTACTCTTTCCACTTGTTCTCTAGGTTTCCCTTCTCCCTGTCTTCTGTGCTGTTTATGGGCAGATGCTGCCCTTTAGGTCTCATGTGGTTGATCCCTAGGGGTCAGTTAGTTTTATCAGACTAGTAAGTTGGGTCTTTATGATTTTGTTCTCCATTTTTTCTTCCCACTGTGTCCTTGAATTTCTTCCAGGAATTTCTATTGTGATCCTGATTAGAGAGGTCAGTATGGAGGCTATGGTTTGCCTGGTCCATTAGTCCTCGGGACTAATTGGAGACCTGTGGCTACCAGCTCTGATTTCTGTACAGCCCACTCCTCTTTCAGCAATAGATCAAGGGACCAACGGATAGGAGAAAAGTTTCTTCCAGTTTTTCCCCTATGACATTCCTCAGAAACAGTGACCCACCTTTGCTTTTCCCATCTGTGAATGCAGTTTGTTTATTTAACCTTACAAGGACATAAAACCTGTCTATGCCTCAGTAATATGAGATAATAGTGATATGGTTAATAAGTATGACCTTGAACTGAACCTGGGCAGTCTGGGCTCTTAACCACTGTACTATTGTACTATATGACTTCTTAGCCAGGAGTCATAGGGCTAACAGACTGTGTTCAATTTACAGATAAGTATAAACTACCACTCAGGTTTTGGAAGACCCAAGTTTTGCTTGACTTTTTATAGGTGGGTATAGGTGGGAAAAGCCTTGTGACTGGTTTAATGCTTTGTTATTGCCTTGAAATTCTTAAGTATGTAGCTAGCTCTGCCTAAAACCAACATGTTTGTGTTTTATCAGCTGCTCTCCCCCAGACATCCTCCTCCCACTTTTGCCAGAGCCTGTTTCAATGGGGACATTTCTATCATCCTGTCTGTCTTAGGATTGGATGTGTCCTCCTTGCCGGGGGATCTGCAATTGCAGCTACTGTCGGAGGCGTGACGGCCGCTGTGCCACGGGGATCCTCATTCATTTGGCCAAGTTTTATGGGTACAGTAATGTTAAGGAATATCTAGAGAGGTAAGTCTTGCCTGGAAGTTGGGAAGTTGGAATCCCAGGGTCTGACATAGGAGAGATCCTGCAGGGGGCTGGTGTCTTGTTTAAGGCCTGATTTTACAGAAACTTTGAGTGCTGCTATTTCTTCCTGTCCTGGAGAATTGGCGTCTTTCTCACCAAAAATTCCCCCTTGTGGTGTGAATCAGATGTAAGAGGAACATACAAAGAAGGCTGAAATCTAGTAAGCACAGTAGAAAAGTGCACTCACACTAGGAAATGTTGACTCCTGGACACCCCATGTCTGTCAGAGTAGAACTGTGCTCCATGGGGTGAGTTTTTGGGGTGAGTTTTTAAAGAAGTAGATTAAGATTACCAGGCCTGACTTCGAAGGCACCTCTGGGTGGACTCACTCAGACTGCTTACCTTGTGGTTAGCACTTAGTGCATAGTGCATTAATGTTTCCAGTGCTCAAGGACTCTATAATGTGCACTTAGGACATGGGTTATCTCAACCTTTATCTCAACCTGGGAGAGAATTGTAGCATGCAAGTTTTACTTGTAACACACTGTAAAGCATGGTTTTGGATTGGCAAAGCATCAGAAGACTCTGGTTGGGCTTTTGTGCCTTATATCTGACAAACTACCTGACACTGACATTTTTATCTT